ACGTAAGGATTTTTTACAAATCGGAAAGAAAAAAAAACTACTTTCTTAGATCAAATTATTATTTCGTTTACCACAATGACCATTTTTTATTATTATGTTTGTTATGTTTAGGTTCTAGAATGATCGATAAGACTCTCACGTCGCGATTGATCTAAAGAAATCTATAGCCAGTGGTTGTCAACACTTTAAGCATAACAAAATGTGACCCGATTTCAATGAAAATGATTCACTTATGTAAAAGTACATACGACGTTTTTGTGAAAAATCTGTACGTGATGGAGAAAAATGAATATCATTTTCCGATTCAGTGTACAGGAATTACTGTAGAACATGTAAAAATTTCAAGACAATAAAACCATTGCAGACCTATGTTATTTTATGGCTCTGTTAATGTGGAAGAATGATAATGTGTTGTTTCAACATTAATGGTAAACTGGCATAATTTTACTTCTAAAAATAGAGGGATTGTTTGTTGGTTTTAAAGCGATTTGTTACGTTCTAATAAGACAGTTCTTCTGAATAAATGGCACTAAAGTTAATTTTTAGATTTCTCTTTCTCTCTTAGATCAGCCGAATAACTGACTGTTAATATTTATTTACCCTAATAGTATGTTTGTTAACATTTCTTTACCCTAATAATATGGTTGTTAATATTTTTTTACCATAATAATATGTTTCTTAACATTTATTTACCCTAATAATGTGTTTGTTAACATTTCTTTACCCTAATAATGTGTTTGTTAACATTTCTTTCCCATAACAATATGGTCGTTAATATTGCTTTACCCTTATAATATGTTTGTTAACATAACTTTATTCATTACCAGAAGTGTTCCTCCGCCGATGTGTGTGAACCATCATCAAGAAAAATGGAAATCCACCATTCACTGACAGGCCTACTAGAAGTGGTTGTTATTGAAGACTGTCAATGTAGCTCTAACCCTTCGAGCTGTCAACGTGTCTCCAGCATGATGACGTTTTTTCACGAGACACCTTTTGAGTCGACAGTTGACGTAGGATCTTGTCAGGGGCAGTGTGGCGATGGTGAGTTCAATCCATTCTATGATTAAATAGGTATAATATATATTAGTGTCATGGATGTAAGAAACTAATGCCTGTAACAGGTTCTAAGTTAATTTAAATAGTTGTTTCTGGTGGCGAAAAACCGGTACAGATTCAAAGAAGGAAATGTTACTGAACCGCACCCTAACACTTGCCACAAAGGTAAGTATACATTTTACTAACATTCTCAAAATAGAAGCCCTAATGTTAAATGGCTAAGCTGAGTATATCTAGGTGCAATCGTTATCCAATATTCTTTTATTCAAAGTCATACTATTTATCACATCAAATGTAAGAATTCTAATTAATGAGAAAAATAGTTAAGCCAACAAGTTATTATCATACAGTAGTCAACATACTTAATTATATCTTGTGTGTATGCAATCTAGTTATTACGGAAGTAACTTATATGCACAAACATCCAAAACTTACAAATAATTTTAGTTATTTCTTCCTTCATTGTTATTGGAAGACATCATTGTTTGAAATGTAAATGGATAAGGCATCACCTATAAATGGTAATTTCTTATGGTATAACATCATTTGTGACGTTTCTTGCGTTAACATCATTTGTGGCGTTTCTTGCGTCGAGTAAATGAGCAAAGCTTTCCTATTTAAGAAATAATATGTTCTGTTTTACATGTGGTATCCTCTTGATCTAATTAGGAATGTATAAATTTGACCAAGATCAACGCACCATTTCAAAGAACCGTTTCTTAATCGAACTGCCATCTTTTGAAATTAAATGCTTTGCTAGTGAGATAATACAGTTTTTCGTTAGCAACTGTATATCGTTTAGACTTTTATCTTTGTGCCGAAAATTCTTGAACTTCTTTCTAAAGTATCTAAACCAAACTGGAATATTAGTTATATGGACGTTTAAATAATAAATTGTCAAAACTTACGTGTGTTGATTAACGCGTATATTTGTCGGCAGGATTACATTGATAAGGTTAAGTGTTGTAACTTCTAATTAAACAAAGAAAATAATAATAATAATAAAAGTATTTCTAATATCAGAACTTCCATTAGAAATAACGTAAGAATCCTGATGAAATTTGCAGGAGTCTATTTCATTGTGTGATCTCATTGTAATGTTATTTGCCAAAGATAGCGTGATTTTTTTCTTTCGTTATGCGCTTCTAGTGCTTTCTTTTAGATATTTCTATGTCTGGCAACATTGCCGATCCAGGTGTTAGTTTATCAGAAACTCTAGTAGAAGCCGCAGGCTAAATTAAGAGGACTTGAGTAATACATTTTCGCCACAACACGACACCTGCGTGCTGTGTTTTTTTTTCTGTGAAAAGTTTGTTTGTTTTCATGATAGAAGTAATTAAAATTTAGTTTCAACTGATAATGTCGTTTAGATAATGTTTCACTACCAGATGTGCATGGGTTATCACCACGTGTGTGACCAATGTTATCTCAATTTCTAGAAACCCGTAAGTGAGCAATTAAACACACGTGCAGGGTTCTCTGAAAAAGGAACCATTTATATAGATCCCATGTCATAAGAGAAGGAAACGCTTCTGTCGAGCTTTTCGTTTATATGTTTTGGTGGAAAGTTAAGATAGATAGCAATAGAAATGTCGGCTCAGAAAACATGTGACGTAGTAGTTACATTAGTTCATTCGTTTTAGTGACAATTGATGGTTTGAGATCGATCCTAGAATGTAGTAAGAACGATTATCCAGAAAGAATTTATTATAGGTTTTAAAACTCAAATAGTTAATGAAATTATATTCTAATGATTAATGAAAACATTAAGAATCTTTGCTATGATATGAGGTAAAATAACGTCAAATCATGCAATTTAAGTACTAAAGAATTGAATGTGTGTGGTATTGTATAGCATAACAATGTCCAAACAAAGTACGTAGTGAAAACGAAACGTAGCACATAAACATTTCCTTCCTGCTTATATTGCGTGTAAATCAGACAATTTATTAGTTGAAACGTTTTTTGATTTACAGATTTTAATTAAATCACGAATATTAGAAGAAAATAATCGTTGAAAAAGAAAGTATGGACAGAAAAACAAGCTTATTTGGGAAAATTGCGTGCATGATACACAGTGGTAAATATACAAGGAAAATACTTAAATACAGGGTACAGAATAGATGCAGTACAAAAAAACAGACCACTTAATACTGCATTAAAAGTATATATTTACAACTGCCAACATGTGATGAAGGATATGAAGCCAAAGTATCGAATCTATCGAATGATTACGATAAATAATCCCAAATGTAAAATTATTATATCATAAAAACTACTTGCTCTCGGGGATTGGGTAACTAAATTACAACATAAGAACATTGGGAATTATAAGTTTTATTCTGGAAAGTTTACATATGGTACGTGGTATTTAAGTGAATTTCAAATATCGTGTTCAATATGCTTTACGCTATTTCAATCAGCATATAAGGTTATCCCTAGGCGAAGATACTGCAAGCCTTATCTTTTATAGACAGTGCTCATTAATCCTCATAACATTCTGGATACTGATAACCATTTTATCACAATCACCAACTTCGTATTGTTGAAAAAAAGGATTGAGAACAGAACTAAAAGAAATGATAAGTTGCGAGAAAAGCGACTTGCATATGCAGTGTAGCATGGTGTTCAAACACCTTATACGATTTCCAAACTTTTCTTAAAAAATGTGTTATAATTGGTTAATGTTTTTCCTAGGACTAGTAAATTTTAAGATATAATAATTCTAAATATTATTTTAATAATCGCACTTGGGTTTACACAAATCATTAAAAGCATGATCTTCACAGTGTTCTGTAGAATTTCCAAAGTTAGTCATAAAATTACAACGGACCGTCATAGTTAGTAAAAGTTTTTCATCTTTTATATTTTGCTATACGCCTTCATAACTACTTATGATAAACACATCACTAATAGAGTAGCTTAAAACACAAGTGAAAAAATACACAGTGTAAAATACTTGACAACAATAATACAAATAGTCGTGTGATAATTATTGAAAACATTCAAAATCATAAAACTGTTATTAGTCTTTATATATATATACATGTATATGGAAGTTATTTTTTTAACTGATGTGACCCAACTCTGTTTTTTATTCATTATTGGTTAGTTTTAACATTTTAATTATTGTTTTTTCTTTAATAATATCATATATCTACACTAATGCTTGTAGCTCACTGATCTACATTAGAAAAATAAAATCATTATATTTATTTGTTTATGTTGTTAAACCCAAAATTGCACAATGAGCTATCTGTGCATTGCCCATCGTAGGAGTCGAACAACAGACTTAGCGTTATACGTCTTCAACCTTATCGCTGGGCAATCAAGGAACAATTAGATTTATAGAGATCTATGATCTACATAAGTTAGTCGCAAAACCCGTGGATGTGGTCTATACTAGATGATAATAAATTCGTAGAATGACATCTGTATCAGATTGTCGTTAAGCCTGAAAGATGTGGCTTATAATTGATAGTTCTTTATGATGGGAAGCTAGAGTTACACTAAACTTATTTTATAAATAATCACGAAATTTCCTTTTGAATTAAAGAGATATGAGGTAAACGTTTCAGCAGGATCAAGTGTGTGATCAGTTCGGATTACTATAAACAGAATGGGAGTGTTTATTAACCCATTATTAATTCTGCCCTGTACTCCTTCCTCGCCAACTCGGCTACTTGCATACACATGTCAATCTCTCAAGATTATCAACATACTAGAGTCGCTCTGCACTGCATCCCAAGTCAAAATAATGGACAAAAGTATAGTTGTTTGGCACATGTACCACAGCTAGATATAGGGTCATTGCTTATCTATAAATAAAAATATAATTGTATTTGCTTTAAGCCAATCCATTGTGAGAGACTAATGATATCCAAGCTTCTGCAGGATCTGATCTCTACTTGTCTACTTGTCCAGAACGAAGCGTATATCGTAGGAACTGCACATCACAGTGATCAAACTCTTCCATGCACCACTTCATAGAAGTCTACATTATAATAAATAATCTTTCATAATATGAATTTCGCTTCTGTGTTAATATGAAATGATAGAGCTTTGTCTGAATGCAATTAATTGACATTTATATACTACCATTGACATGGATCTTTAACTTTAGGGGACTACGCAAGCTATATATGACAGTTGATTATAAGATCACGTGCCAGAAAAACACCCCTCAAAAACTGTTAAAATTAATCCATCCCAGATATATCAAACGTGTTCTCAAATAAATTAAGATTTAAAAGAGGGAAGGCGCGATTGTCTCTGTGGCAAAGATAGGGATTTGTGAGCTGGAGCATGTTCGAATCCGTGCGATACCACAAAACTATTAACCCACACTTTAAGCTGTGTTATAAGATTAGCAATTAATTCCTTAGTATGTATGGTGGTTGGTAGGATGCTGATGACTGGTATCCTTCCTTCTGGTTAGTGGTTCAAAATTAGGGACGACGGCAGATAGCTTTAGTAGCTTTGCCATAAATACAAATTAAAGACAGGTTTAAATTTTGCTAAACAATGTACAATACTAATAAAAAATATTTTGAAGAATTTTCAGTTAATGGCCATTTTATAATATAATTAAAATAGGAGAATATTATGATTTTATATTATTCAAAAAACTTAAAAAGAAACTTAAGGTATGGCTAGGAAATCAAATAATGTAGTTTAGTTATCAAAGTTTGCATGGATCTATTTCATCTTTTAGTAACTATGGTTAAACGGTGGCAGAATTTTTAACACAAGCCTTCCTCCCTCCAATTATATAGTCATGTTGCAGCACATTTGTCAGTGCGCAGCCCGGGTAGAGTCATTTTATAAATATCAATATATGTAGGGCACCCACCATCGAAGTTTCTCACAGACAATGACATTAATTTCAACTCTTCTCTATAGTTTCTAAACAGATAGTGTATCATAGAGCCTTAATGTGGATGTATGGGTTACTTAAAATCTAAACACAGAGCTTTTGGGGGTGG